ACAAATGACCTGAGTAAAAAGGTCGACAGCCCCCCGTAAGGGATGTAACCTGGCTATTTGCGTGACCCGAGGACCAGCAACGGTTCGTGGAGGCTCTCCCGAGCCGGACAACAACGGAAATAACTCTGGCGAGATCCTGGGTTTGCAGGAGGCCCTTGTGCCTAAGTCAGCAAGTCATCAAAGGCCTGATGTCTGTTCACAATGAAGCACACGAGACCCGTCTTTAAACTGCGGTGCCATCTCAAGTCGGGAAACCAGAAGGAATGCCGTCCTGTCGCGGCCGCAGTGCTTCCCGCAAAGAGACTGGCTTCGGGGGTGTGATCCCGGTGGTTCAGATGTACTGCGTACACGGCACAGCTTTAACAGTCGGTAGACTAAGTGACGTTTCGCAAGAGTCCCGAGCAAGCCCCCATGGGGGGTTTGTGGAATACAATACGCCTCTGCAAGCCACTGATCTGATCATCTGTGAGCACAAGCCTGGCGTCCTGAACATTGGAAGCGCCTCAGTCTGACCGGCCGCCAAGCGAGGTCGCCTTGAGTGGTTCAATAGTGTCAAATGCCCTGGCCGGCACATTTGACGCCTTGTCATGTCGTCAAAGCAGTCTGACACAGTGCACTAAATGTTTGCCGCGGCTCCATGCTCCGGCATCCGCAGAGACAGCACGCTCCACTCACCTCGAGGCCTGTAATGTGCATTCTGACCGACCATCCATCCGTACGCACATACAGAATCTTGTATGTAAGTCGGCCGACAGGCAGGATGTTTGTCAGGGGGCCCAGCACGACTCCTTGTTGGAATCGTCGTGAGCCGCATTTTGTACTCTGTACCATACACATCCTAACGATCAGGTGGATCTCAGTGGACAAAAGGGCTGGCCGGAGATGGCTTCCGAGTCCCGCCATATAACGAAGACGGGCATCATGTGCTGAAAATAGCCAGATGTTGACGCGAAAGTCGAGACGGATGTCTTAGTGGAAGGTTGATATTGACAAGGGCTTTTGTTTTGTTCAGCTGGCAGTCGGCCCAATGGAGTGTCGATTCATTGTAAACCCCTCTCCAGAATATACCATGTAGCCACACGAGACGATCACTGTCGATTGGGCTGGATTGCACGGTCCATTAAGCGGCCATGCTAATACGGTTGAGATGGGGGTCTTGTGGCCGAGCAAAGCAGCGAAGCATTGCTGTTGAGTTGGAGTCGACGAACGGGCTTTCCAGTGATGTCTGTCGCAGAGTGACGGTCCTTGCGGGGGGTGAGATTGGAGAGTACTGCGCAGTAGTGTGGCGGCAAGGTGACAATGACGACTGCCTCCAGACCTTGGTTGCCCAGATGGTAAGCTTGACATGCCCTTTTGGGATGTCCCGGTGAGCAGATTCTGGTATCACGGTGCTGTTTTCGACCTTGTCTGATCCCATTCCTGTTTTCCGCGTTTGATATGCGCTGCACACCACGACCGGGGTAGGCGGACCAACAGAATGCGGGCGGCGCTGTGCATAGTATGTAATTAGGTATCCACGTGTGATGCGGATCTGGCTCCGGCGCTGATGTGCTGGAGGGAACAGATGTCAAGACTAACGTCTTGGTGGTCTTGCGAGCCAGCGAGATGAATGCCAGTGAGAAGACTGATGACGGCGAAGGATGCCAGCGTCGGTGAATCAACCATGTGGCTGCCCCGACGGCGAGAGCTCTTTGCGGGGGTTTGCTGTACTCTGATTGTGAGGCCAGTCTGTCATGGCGAAAGAGCGATGCAGACGCAGTGGACGTGCTCGGATGGCTTTGGGCGCGCGAAGGTCTGGGCTTGCCCGAGCTACCTATCAACAGGGATGGGAAAAGATGATGGTAATTGGGGGGCAAGTGAGTTGAGTTGCGGCATGATAACAACGACTGCTGAAAAAGATGAATGATACGTTGTTGGGGTTGGAAGTGTGTGTGAGTGGAGAGAGAGAAAGAGAGAGGATTTGGGTGGGTGGGTTTGTTGGTTGTGCTTTGACCTCGAAACGACGATGCCGGGTTCGTGGCCAGCGATATTGACCGACCGTTGTTGGAGATGGAGGTCGAGGTTGAGAAGAAAGCAATGGCCGGCGGCGGCTGTGCCTCGAGATAGATGCACCTCGTGTTGTTGGTTCAAGCTCTTGGAAATGGAATGGGAGTCGGGGGTTGAGGGGTCGGTCCATTCCTTTTCTCGCTGCAGACTGAAGAGCAAACAATGCAAGGCGGCATGCTACAGAGTACCGCAGCGAGTATCCTGTCGGCAGTTGCAAAGTAGCAGAGCCCAAGATCAGGCTGTGTTTCCGTTTCTTTTCTTTTGCTCGTCAATTGTTCTTCTGGCAGCCCGCGCTGAAGACATTGGATGGAATGAAAGCCCCTTTCAGCGCCCTGGCATCGAACCTAGGAGGTCGGGTACCTTAGCATACCTTACCTACCTTACCTTAGGTACCTAGGTAGGTAAGGTGCCTTGCCTTACCTGACAATGTAGATGCACCAGCTAAAGACCTCGCCTACAGGCCGGGACAGAAAAGGAAAGCCAGGGGTTTGGCCTCCTCCCAACTTGCTGGCTCAAAGGCACCTGGCCTGATTCGTACCGAGACCTTCCATACAGAGTATTCGCAGGTACCTGAGCTGCCCTGCCCTGCCCTGCCCTGCTGCAATGCGGTCTGCTCGCCCGCTGCATCAGTGGGGTGCCGGCTTCCATCCATCTGTCTACCTTGCGGACATGGTGGCTCTCTTCTCTCGCCTCTGCCGTCAAAGCATCGCCTCATCTCGTCTCGCCTCGTCCAACCTCACCAGACCAGACCTCTCTCCCCTAGCCTTGGGACCAGGTAGAGACAACATGCGTCTGTTTTTCTTCTGCTTGTCTTCTCGCCTCGTCTCACCTCGATCCTGTCTTCCGAACCCTGCTAGAAGACCGCCGCAAGGACACTTGCTTCATTGTCGACCTCCATTTGTTGGACCCGGCCTTCAGACAACGCAAGCCGACTGATACCCTACGCTGTCACCCACTGGCGACAGGATGCCGCCGGCGCCGAGCGGTGTGGCTTTACGGCGACGACGCCGTCCATTCGCTCTTGGAAGCTGTCCCCCCCGCTCGTCAACTGATGGAACCATAGCTACCCCTACCTTACCTCATCTTCACACCGGGCTCACCTTACCCCGGAGATGAGGTGAGGACAGGTGAGTGGGATCATGGATGGGGAGGATGGGAGGGAGGTGAGGCTGATTACGGTGCCGTGCGGTTGCGGTGCGGCGCGATGCGCTGCATTGAGCCGGCCGTCCAGCCCCTCCACAGTCACACAGCACAGCACAGCTCACCTCATACAGCACATCTACCGCCTAGGTGCCGCTGTGCTGCTGTGCTGCTGTGCTGCTGCGTCAAGCCGGCTCGCCTCGACACGCGCTGCATTCAACGCTTAAGCGCACACAGTCGAAGCAACGGCATGCACCAGCCACCAAGCTGCCTGTTCCGGTCATCTCTCTCAGCACAACACTTATGCGCATCGTTGGCTATGATTGATGGTCACTTTGTCCTTCATGGCTTCATGGCTATCGAGCAATGCACAAGACGACATGGCACAACAAGAGGAGCAGCAGCAACAACAACACAACAGGGTCAGCTCCGCTTGGATCACGCATTCGGAACTCCCGATATTGCACGTCGTCAGCCAAAGTTGAGTCGGGTAGCTTTGGTCTTGTTCAAGGCAAAAAGCAACCGACACCAAAGCAAGCAGGCACGGCACGGTACACATGGCAAGTTAGAGCTTGAGGAAGACATGCTCCGACCGGAAGGGATACTTGCCCATCGGGAACTCGTTGCTGGCATGGCATGCCGCCTAGCCTAGCAGCACCTGGCACCTGAGTCTCGGCGCCTGAACAAAGACCTCCCGCCCTGACATTTCGCCGCGAAGAGAGACGTAGCTTGGTCACGTAGGTGTGTTGACAGGGGTCCCAACTGGGATAGGTCCTGCACCTTCAGCGACAGCTCTCTGTCTCTTCGGTCCAAATTTGGTGTCCGTCACTACTCGATGGAGCGTATAGCATCTTCTCCCAAAACACTGAGACGGCCCTATCGTTCCCAGGTAATCAGCGCACGCTACACAGAAAAAGAATGGAAATAAATAAATAAGAAACCCGTCTCGAGCAAGGGTCTTTCGACGGCGTCTCGTCTGACGTCTGCTCTCGCAAATACCCGACAAGGTCGCCAGACAAGCGGCAGCTGTATGTTTTCTCTCTGCATTTCCTCCGTTGACCGGCAAGCGAGGTTGAACCCAGAGGCGGCCCGCGGGCGGCCGTCGCCAGCAAAGGCTTCCTTGGACTCTCGAAACTTGCTCTCCATCTGCTCAATATGCTCACGAGAAAGACATCGTGGTTTCCGATGAGTCTCTGTTTACCCCTCGGCGATCCAGGGCAAATTTCCAAAAGAAGTGACAAACACGGAGGTCGCTATTTGCCAGAGTCCGTCTCTCTTCCGGACCCTTCACTGAACCTCTCTTCCCCTGGCTTTCAAGCCAGACGCCCATCACGGACAGCTACAATTAATCCCTGGCTTCCAGTCCGGATCAATCAATCAGAACGCACAAATCTTTCCATCGGCACCGAAAAGCTCGCTCGGTTTCCAGCTCTTTACGGGCTGGCCATGAGCCACACCACACCATTACCCATACACACAAGCACCCACACACAGGTCTCTCCGCAGGAACACACACTCCACGCGTCGGCAAAGGGTGTGGCGATAGCGGATTTACCTTGCAGCTGCCACGAGGAGTGCACTTAAGACCAGGGGTCCTGATACCTCCCGACCATGTATCCTCTTTCGTCCCCATGCCCCCGTCCACTGTCAAAGCCCTCCATCGCCTGATGGGGGAATTTCCTACCCATATCCACTGTCACAGACCTGGACCTTGCGAAGCGGAGAGACCTCAACCCTGGACCTCGTCGTCCGTCCGTCCTAACGACCGTTTTTTTGTTTTTTCGATGCAAGCGCTTCCGTCATGGCTCTCAGACATGGACAGGGTAGCTCAAATCCATTCACATTCTGATCAAAACCAATTGTTGCGCTCGCTCTCCTTTTCCCTCAAGGTACTTACCCTACCGCACGCCCTGGTCCTGCGCTCTCTCCCTCTCCTCGTCTCACTCATATATATCCCATCCGGCCTCGACTGATCTAACGCGAGCCTTTGACAACCAGAACCTCGTGTGCCTAAGTACAAAACCCTTCCAGGCCTCAGATACACCAGCAAGTGGACTTGTTGTCTACGCCTCACATCACGCCTGTCATCTCTTCTTCCTCGCTCTTCCGTCCGTTCAACTTCGGATCCCATGAGCGACTTGCCCTAGAGCCCAAGGCCTCCTCTGTCCGCGCCATACAACGACATAAACCTAGGCATGCCATCACCTCTTCCAACAAGAACAGCCTGAACCGCAACCACTCCGATACTCAGCCCGCCCTAGCCGGCAATATCTTCTTTTTCTCACACCAGACCCTCTCTTCATGTAAGCCTCTCACCTGCGGCGGAGACAGGTCCGAGACTGACCTCACCATTCAGCGTCTGGCCTCATTGTCGCCGAACATGTGTGACTTCACCAAGAACTACTACATTTACACGTCATGCATCGACCCTGGCGCCCACTTCTTCAGAACCTCAGTGGACGGCAATCGGAATCGGACATGTGGCAAGGGGCCCCATGAGCGTTACATTGTCGTCCCCGGCCACTGCCCGCTCTGCGGTGGCTAGTCATGAAGCCACAGGGAGGACTTTTAATTCTCACTTGCCGTTCTCACGTCTCGACCATCGACTTTTGCGTATCCGGGGCGTCACCAGCAATGCGACCTTTCCCTTCGGTTCGGCCAAGCCTTGGGTGGGACTGTGGATCCGGCAGTACGCCGTTCGAAGGTCTCGACGCAGGCAATCTCATTTATACGGCGGTATGGCAAGGCGTTTTTGGGATCAGTAACCATATATCTACGTCCGGAAAGCGGAACCCGAGCGATCACGGGATTTTCGACAAACTGCGGGTTCGAGACGCCAGCCGATGCGGAACAGGTACGGCTGGGGAGAGCTAGGGCCGAGAGAGTGTGGGAATCCGGTGCGGCAACCTAGCGCGGCAGGAGAGGAAACTTTCCCCTGTCACCGACTGTCATGGGCACAGCAGCCAGCCTTGAGAGGGGTTCCCCTCAAACTGGGCTTTTGACCAACAAGGAGAAGGGAGACGGGGACAGCAACAAAAAAGCACTGCAAGCGAGCACTGCACTGCATCCGTTGTTTGGCATAGCATTTGTTGGCTTTTCTTTTTTCNGCAAGCGAGCACTGCACTGCATCCGTTGTTTGGCATAGCATTTGTTGGCTTTTCTTTTTTCTTTCATTTTTGGATGCTTCCTTGGTCAAAAGCTTCTCGACTCCTCTATGTTCTCATCTCTGGTTTGACGTTTGCTCCTCTTTTCACTTTTTTTTCTTCTGCGGTTTTGGATTCATTGGTTCTGTTCATCACCGGCATAGCAAAGCAAGGTCTGTTACTGCTCACGTTGGATGGGCTGGCAAAGCGGGCATAACGGCGTTTTTCGGGACTGGGTGTCGTCGCCTATGGGGGAGAACCATAGGAAACAACAAGTTGTCATCATATGCTGTCATCATATTCAGGTTACTTTGCAGGCATGTACCACATACACACTGTTGCGTCAGTTTGGCAAGACATAAGAGAAAGAGACGAGTGTGTGCCCATGGGCACTCTGATTTCAAGTTTCAAGGTCGCTTCTCCAACATTCTCGTGCCAAGACGCTGTCCTATTATGTTCTGTCCTCAACTATTGGCGGGTATGCAATCCGGCAAAGTCGGTGTTAACAGCAGGGCCAGTATACGGAAATCTTCCTCATCTGGACGGCGGGCCTGTGTGACCCGACGCGAGTCTGCAACCCTCCAAAGCCCACGACAATGAACCCCCTCCGCGCCGTTCGTTGCGTACCCACGGGCAAAACCACAAGTTGCTGCCAATGGCTATACCATCCGGCACCATATGGTCCATATCGAGATCATGCAGCTAGCTGCTGCTCCCATGTACCGACCGAAAACGGGACTGGGCTACGGCGGGCTCATCACTCGACAGCGGCGCAGGTAGCCACGAGACCCGCCTCATGGGTATATAGCAGGGCCGCCATATACCCTCCTTACATGGCCTGCGGCTTTGTTTTGTCTTTCATGCGAGCCCTTTTCTGATGCTCACCTCCCTCCCCATGTTTCTGCGCCGCCTCAACCACTCTCGCTTCCCGCTTACAGCCCTGGATTCGCTCAACCCCTCATCCGTCCTAGTGCCCTCGAACCTGCCGGCCGGCGGCAAGAGGCTTGGAAGTCGCCCAAACCATTGGCGGTCGAGTCGGGAGCTATGAGCCGTCCCTGACCCTGGCGTCGGGATCTTCGCTTAGTCTGCGAGCTGTGATTCGAAGAGCCGTCCACCGCATCGCGATGAATACACCCGTCGCTTTTGGGGCGCTTACTATGGGACGGAGAGGCGTCGACAGACATCGAACAGGTTGCCATTTGGTGGTTCCGTCGCCGGTCAGGCACACCGCAGTCAGCCTGGCTGCATGCAGCCGGATCCTTTGATACTCGAAAGACTAGGACGCCGGGGTTGAGACTTGGTCACGTCGTACAGCTTGCCCCTTGAATCGCCTGCTGGGTGGTTCCGGAGGTTTCTCGCGATATTTCCAAGCCTTGCCATCGTATCGCGCATAAGGGTATTTGGATGGGTCTGCCTGGGGCCTCGCTTATGGCCTGATCGACGCAACATGCGACAGTCACCATAGCTGAGTGCAGCACCGCTGGCCTTTGTTGTCCGGTCATTTGCATGCACGAGTCTCAAACCAGGTTGTGATGAGATTGTGTCGTTGGTCGCAAATACTGCAGCACTCTGACTAATTGGTCATCTAGGAGCCTCCGTGGTCTTCGGACTCGATGCCCCGCTTGTCCTCGGGCAACCTTAATCCTTCATATCAACCATGACAGCAGGCTAAGTAAGTGCTGGTGAAGGGATGTGAGTCGGCCACGTTTGCAACATATGGGAGGACAGGCTTCGCGATGTCACCTTCGCAGGGTCATGGAAGATGGAGGCCATGTGCGACGCGCGCGGCGAGGTCTGTTGAATTTGCGTTTCTCGTTCCCTGAGGATGCGGCCGCCAGATGGAGCAGTGGATAGTGGAACTTAATGTGAGCATGACCATTGTCGATGGGTCGACGACGTTCATCACTCAACGCCGGCGGCAGATCATGGGCCGCTAGGCTCAATCCCAGCTTCAGGAGTTTGCCGATGCTGCAGCTGGGGAGTTTGACAGCTTGACAGATGGAGACGCTCTCAGTAAACCCACAGCATGGCACGCACCATGGGGGCAGATAAGTGTTGATCAGCGCCGTCTAGTGAAGCTTGCGTCGTCGGGTTCGCTCCGAAGTGCAGTGAGTTGGGCAGAAGCACACAGGCCACCTGCTGTCAGCTATGGTCTCGACTCATTGACGTGTGTTTCGAAGGTTTGCGAGCGGCCAGTACCAGTCGAGCAAGCAAAGAGAGAGAGCAGAAAAAAATGAGGCGATGCTGCGATGGAGCCGTGGAGCAAGTGATGGGGACACCACCCGGAGCATGCCTCTCCAACGTGGGACTCGAATTCGTACCAAAGCGGTCATGGCGGAGCGGGTCGAATTGACTTTGACAATAAGTGGGGGAATGGGGACGGGCTCGAGCAGCAGCAGGTGGGAAAAATGGGAAAAAGACCAGGAAGTGTGCTCCGAAAAGCGCAAGACGGGAGCGTAGACTGATCCAAGCTCCCACCCTGTCCAGCACCTTTCCTCCTGAGTTGGAAACAGGTTTTGTCTGTTTCGTCAAAGTCAACCAATGCCGGCCTGAGAGTCTCGACCCGCAAGCAAGTTGGGGGTAGGCATGAATGAAGTCCTCGACGCCGCAGGTGTGACGTGAGGCGTCCTGCTCCGGTCCGTGACTTCGGTGCCGGTAGTGCGCATCGGCCGCCGCCAACCTTCTCACCTGCGTTCGGTATGGGGCCAACGTCCAAAAACGGCGCCGTTTCCGGGGTTCAGCCACCATTTCAGCGTTGCATCGCCGAAACGGTATTCCGGGTACTGTGGCCTGACATAGACTGCCCTACGCACCTCTTCCAAGGGCGTCCCTAGGCCTGCATTTGATCGTCCCGGTGCTCCGGTCCCGTCACCACCACCGGAGACCTCAACTTAGCCTTTCCGTCACCTCGAAATGTAGCCGACGGCGGATTGCCCATCCCGACTCCCGACTCCAAGACGGGGTTCCTAGTTTGCCGTCCGATTCTTGAGAATTATCGTATGTTTCGACCGCACCCACCGAGTCAAGCGAGCCTTCTCGACTTCAAAAGCCCCTCGTTCCCCGTCCTTGTCATCGAATTTGTATTTTTCGACCCCGGCTGGGGGTGTTCGGACCTGGAATATATCGATGTAATATGGTTCGTTCGTTGTTCGTGTCTATTTTGCCGCTCTGCCGTCCAACAACCCTGATCCTTGACGCTAAGGCCCTCCTGGCGGGGACGACCAGCTTCCCCTTCGATAATGACACTTTTCTTCTCCATTTCCTGTCAGTTTCCCCTAGAGGCTCAAAACTGGGGTGCGGTGCCGACCTAGTCCTGGGCCGTCTCCGCCGCCTCGTCATCCCCTCGTCCTGGCGGCGCCGAATCCAACGCTCCGCACCCGTCAAAACGGCAAAGTGGAGGAAGAGGACCCGGCGTCCGTCGTACGATGATTTCGAGTCAGTCGGGTCATGTCCAGTCCTATGTTGTAGTGTAGGATGAGATTCCTGGCAGCAGCACGCAATTCGCATGCTACATCTTGATGAACCTTGATGGAACCGTGTCAGTGCCAACTCCACGTGTCGTTCCGTTCCCCGGCTCGAGAGATCCGAGCAACCGACGTCTTCGCACTCCCGAAGACGGTTCTGGCCCAAGCCGGCCCCTGGAAGTGCAGGGAGCGGCCGCCAGCAAACTCTCTCCTGCCACGAGCATCCAGCCAAAGAACCGTTGCCCCAGCCTGGGTCCGCTCGTTCGTTACCTTAATTAGACGAGACACAGGTACGTTGAACGGGAGGTTGCATCTTGGACAAACCGTTGGACTACCAGGAACCAGGGCGTTGGGTGACCGTGCCACCGTCCGACCCAGAATAGCTGTCATAATGAGGAACCAAGCGCCTCACCGCCCCAACTGCCCGACACGCCGGCTCTCAAGGTCGACTGCCGATCGAGAGCGGCGGCGAGACATTGTGATCGCTTGGACCCTCGGCCGGGGTTTTCCCGAGATCCATCCCACGATGGAGAAATGACAGGATACTAGCCCAACTTGGCTTCCCCAAGATCAAAGTTCAGGTCGATGGAGATTCTTCTGTTCGTCATGGCTGGGCCGGTGGGGTTGAACGAGTCGGCCACGGCCGAGAAATGAAGACAAGGTCGAAGTATTTTGGCCGGTTACGATACCCGGTGGGAGTTCAGGATGCGGTTAGCTGCGAATTGGTGTACTGGTCGTGGTTTAGCCTCGCCAGCGGATACGGAGTCGAAATCGGAAGAGGCTTGACCGCCAACGCAATGATTTGCTTGTGGGGATGGATAAAAACTTTGCGGTAATGTTGACTTCGTGAAGTGCGCCCTCAATCTCGAAAGGAAATAGAAGAAAGACTCGATGGGAGCGGCAGTCGTGTGTCAATGTCAAAGCACAAAGCACAAAGCAAGGATGCGACGACCACCTCTTGCGGAAAGTGAGAATGGCATCGAGGGGCGAGCAGGGCCTTCTTTCCTCATTCCAGTGTCTTTCCGGATGCGGCATCCCCCACTCCTTCTCTCTTTCCTCGCTGTTCGTCCAATGATCTTATCTAGATTACTCCATGAGACGGTACCCAATGGAGAGGAAGGGCCAGCCCGAGACCATTCGCATGTAGCGTTCAAGTACATCTGCCCAGATACACAGCTACGGAGTACCTTTGTACACATGCCTAAGGTACCTTGGGTAGGTACGCGAAGAATACCTTAGGTAGCTAGCAACTTTGAGGAACTCCACGTCCTCCCTCCAGCTGAGCTTTCGCTCTTCCCCAGAATGCTCACTGGAAACCCGTCCCTGCCTGCCTTTGAGGGCTCCTACCTGCTATGATTCCAGATTATGCTGCTACAGCACCTTCCGCCGTGGTGTTTGGTTGTTTTCTTCCGTCGATACTGATGCATTGCAGCTGCTGACTCCATCCCGAATCTCCTGAACTTCTTATCTCTCAAAGCAAACATGGATGGCTTCCTCTGGTTTCAAGTTTCCGTGCTGCGAATGATGGCAACCACGCGACATGACATTTTCCAGCAATCGACCCCAATGTCATTATCACTGCGACGTGCTATACTTAGGCTTGGATGAACGGTAGCCTGCACCGCGTCTCCTTCGACCCCATTAAAGTGTCCAGACAGACCAATCGTACTACACGATACACGGAGTGGACTTTTCAGCACACATCGCTCGCCATGCGTGAGACCATCGTCCGTCCCAGGAACGAGTGGGATGGGGCCTTATCGGCACCCCCAACCCAGGCCGAAGTCCGACTCCAAAGCATCATCATCCTCGTCGTTTCAGTTGTGTCGATTCTTGGCGCAGGATGGATCATGCTCAGTTTCTGGGTAAGTTAGAAACTGAACTGATGTCTCTTCAGCTGACAAGCTGCGAAGCTGTTTCCGAATCTGCGCTCATTCCGCCATCGTCTTATTCTTGGCCTGGCCATGAGCGACCTCATTATGGCCATCAACTTCCTCTGCTCCACTGCGCTGAATATATCCGGTCGACTTATCAGTGCACCCGAGAATGCCACCTTCTGTAGCTACAACGGCTTCATGACGCAGGTCTTCGTTATCCAAACCGACTACTGGGTTCTCACTATTGCCGTTTGCACGTATTTCATCCTTGCCGGCCACAAGAGACAGTCGACGTGGATTCAAAACCATGAATATCTTATCTGGTCGCTCCCCTGGTTTTTCTCAACTCTTTGGGCGCTCATCGGTCTCGTCAGAGACGCATACCGCGACATAGGCGCTTGTAAGTGACACCCCTGCGAAGTGTGGTTAGTTTCCAGACTCTAATCCACCTTTAGGGTGCTGGTTCAAATCTGATCGGACTCGTCTACTGGTCAACTTCGTCCCACGATGTAAGCGCCCTTTGGTTGTTCCCATGGGCTTCAGCTGAAACACATGCAGGGGTCATCATAGTCACTATGTTTGTCCTATATGCCTATCTCTACGTCGTTCTTTACAGAGCACATAATGAAATGAGCTCGGTGGTGGACGAGGTGTCTCCTCGTCAACGATGGTCCGGGCACACGACCCCAGCCAGAAGCGTTGATACCAGCTTCCAAGACGACAGCTTTCGTGGTGAGCGCCAGGCCCGTTCGTCAGCCACTTTGCCGAGATTGAGAAAGGTTTGAGGTCAAAAGTTGCGTAGACGCCGAAGACTGACCGACTAACTCTGTACAGATTGCCCGCTTGATGTTGTTGTACCCTCTCGCATACGCCGTCATCTGGTCACTTCCAACGGCGATTAGAATATACAACTCAACAACGGACGCTGCAGCACCTTTCGCTCTGCAGACTATCGATAAAGCAAGCATCGTTGTCCAAGGCTTGGTCGATGCGGTTATCTACGGCCTGAATGAGACTTCGTGGTCAAGTTGGCGTGCGCGCTTGTCACCTCATGGGTACCCCACGCTGGCGACGACAAATGCAGACGATGCAAACGATGCAAACGGCGCAAACGAATCACGAGCGAGAGAACGTGAACAGAGATCTCGTCGGCCGGTATGCGGGAGAAGAAGAGAGATTGCAGAATCGACAGGGTCAGGGCCTTCAACCGTCGTCGAGCCACAAGATGCGATTGAGCTAAGAGATTTTACGACTGAGCCGCACCGAAAAGCTATCAGAGAATAAATCGGGGTTCAAAATCATCGCAGCGTCAGAGAAGGGCGACACTTTTGGCATGGTTCTTGGAAGGCTCAGACCCATGTTCAGTTCAGTCATCACCATGAGGTGTCGTCCTGCACCTTCTTAGACGTAATTGAAATGCCCAGTCCATCGATAAATTATGCGACTGCCATAAACTGGAGAGCAAATACAGGGATACTCGTGAAATTGGTTTTCACGTAGACGTGATATCAACGCTAAATTACTCCGTTATGTGGCTCGAAAGCAGACTTTCGTCCTCACTACATGACATGTTCTTCATGAATCATTGACTTCCCCCCTTCCCCTTGATATGTTACACACCTCAACACAACAACTTCTTTCAAGCCTTGGTTCCGGAGGTCTCAGCGGCAGAGGCCGAGGGGACGTCCTTGGCCTTGGACTTCTTAGCCAAGCGCAGACCGCCGATGGCCATAACCAGAGCCTCGATGCCGAGGACGACGACAAGGGTGACGAGAGCGCCGATAACACCGGCAACGGGGGTGGAGATACCGTTGGCGTCCTTGCTGGAGGAGCCGGAGCCGGTGGAGTTCGCGCCGCCGTCCAGACCAAGCGCGGAGGCGCAGGTGCCCGTCGAGTTGCCGCAGGCGGTACACCAAGCCTTGGTGTCCTTGACGGCGAACTTCTGCATCTCGGTGACGAAGGTGTTCCAGGGGAGGAGCGTCTCGGACTGGCCGAAGAGGGGGTACGCGGTCAGGTTGTTCTGGCCGGCGGGGCCGTTGGCGAAGCGGAAGCGTACCGAGACGTCGTCGGCGGCAGGGGCGGAGGCGGAGGCGTTGGTGACGAGCTCGAAGACCATGGAGGAGGCGTAGTCGACGACCTCGGTGAAGCTGGAGGACGCCTTCTGCAGCTGCGCAAGGCCGAAGAAGGAGGAAAAGGTGGCGTAGGCGCCGAACTGGATGTTGGCCTTCGTGGAGGAGGCCTTTGCGGCGTTGGCGAGGGTCGAGTTGAGGGCGACGAGGATCTGGCCGGCCAGGACCTTGCCGGCGATGGCGCGGATGGGGTCGCTCTCGTTGTAGGCCAGGTTCCACTCGTGGACGTCGGCGTAGGCCTTGAGCTGGGCGAGGGTGCTATTGGTCAGCAGGCTCTCGGAGGAGATGGTGTCGTTGTGGATGGTGGCGACGTTGACGAGGTCGAAGATGGTGTAGGCGTTCTCGAAGGTGGCCGTCTTGGAGGTGAAGGTGCCGTTGATGACGGGCAGCAGGCCCTGGTAGAAGTCGGCGGAGGCGTCGCTGTAGTTCTTGTACTCGGGGGAGGAGAAGTAGTTGTTGGAGCTGACGACGGCGTTGCCGCAGCCGCTGCCGCCCTGGAGCCACTCGCTGTTCTCGGCGTCCTGGGAGGTGGCGGCGGTGCTGACGGCGTTGACTGGGACATACTGGTAGCCGCCGAGGGGCGCCTCGACGCTGGTGCCGTTGGCGAGGGTGTTGGCCGTGCCGGCAGGAGGGTAGAAGCCCTGCAGCCAGGCGTAGGCGGAGGACTGGAGGACGACGTCGGTGGGGGAGGTGACGGCGAGCTGCTCGGGGCGGACCTCGTCGGTGCTCAGGGAGCGGATCTGCTGGGAGGCGTTGGAGCTGACGTAGCGGGAGCGGTAGTAGAGGCCGGAGCTGTAGACCTCGTCGGCGCCGAGGTCAGTGAAGCGGACCGGGGGCCACTTTTTGGCGGTGCGGTCGCCGTGACGGTGGAAGACGTAAATTCCGAGGACCGTCTCGGCGGCGGCCGGGACGATAGGCAGGCCGAGGGCCAACAGGAGCTTGAGTTCCATCTCGGTTGTCTGTGTCTTGATGTCAGTAAACCACGCGCTGTTCGTCGTCGCATTGCCATTGAGAATCCGGGATGTCTGGCTTACTTTGTGTGGTTGATTAGGTTTAGGAATCTAAAGACTTGCGGTCGACACAATAGTACAACACGGTCCCAGCCGGTTCGTTATTCCCGTCTTGGAGAGGAAGACGAAGAATTCTCAAGGTGAGCAAGCGATGTTGGAGATGGAGAGAGAGCCTGGCACGTCCAGGGAAGCGCCCTCCAACAGCCAGAGCCGGGCATCGCCGACTCTTTAACCATCGCCGACCGTCGGCTTCCGCACCTCATGACTGGCGGAATGCAGAAAAAGAGAGACGGCGAATCCCTCAGAGACCCCTCAGCCCACCCATACCTCTTCTTCCCGGAGACCATCTCCATTGCTGCAGCAGTAGCGTGTGTCTCTCCACCAAGGCTTGACCCGCTTCATAGCTTCGGACCAGTCGATGGTTCGCGATAAAGGAGGGGTAAGAGAGAAGCACTGGCCACGGCGAGTACTTTGGTAGTAATTGCAACTTATCACCGGCCGCGCCCTATCAATAGCAACCAAGCAACCGCGGGAGGAATCTGCATTCGGGGTCAGGATGGACGTCGGGACGGGCCTGAAGCAGGCAACTCGTGCGTCCAATTAGTCAAATGATGAAGGGTGTCCCCACCCCATCTGCAACCTATCGCCTGCAGGTCGAGGGAAGTGGATGCCGGCTTGGCTCAAAGCTTGAGTTGCGCCGCACGCAGCCGGCCTATTCCAGAGCCGCTAATTAATCACCTTAGTTGACGAGGTGACAAAACAAAAAATCCCCTAGGCATGCAACCACAAGGGCGCGCCGCCGCTGCATCTCCGCTCCGCAGCTTTGGGCTGTCGGGCGGACAATTCAAGGCGGGAGTACCTCGTGCCGACAGCCGGAGATTGATAAGATTTCATTCTCGGATTGAAACAGCGTGGCTGGGACATTCAATCTGTTTGATTTTCCACAATTCGCAGTATCTAACATGCAGGCCGCATCAGCAACCGCCCACGCGATATCAACTTACAATCTTCAAACCCCAGTCTCTCTGTTTAATGTCCGCGGAGTTGTTGGAGCTGTGTTTTGCAGACCCCACAACTAGAAACCCCCCTGCCTTTCAAGCCACCGTCCATCTCACAATTTGGAAGTCGGCTTGCGCCCGCTCTTCACGTGCTTCGAGATCTCACCCTTGAGCAGGAACTCCGGGTATCTCATGTCTTCATCGGTTCCGACTCCGAGCGCGCTCTGCCGCCTCCACGCGCCACCGTCAACGGGAATCGCCTGGCCGTTGACGAAGCTGCCAGCATCACTGAACAGGTAGACGGTGGAGTCGGCGATATCGCGGATGTAGCCCCACCGGCCCTGGGGAACGACGGCATCGGCCCTCGACTGGTCGGCCTTGGCGCTGGAGAGACGTTCCATGCCCTCCGTGTCCTTGATCGGGCCCGGTGCGATGACATTGCTCGTGACACCATACGGGCCGTACTCCAGACACACGGAACCCATGAGGGCATCAACGGCAGCCTTGGCGGCCGAGACGTGTGCTTGCAATGGCATACCGGTGTAGTGGAAAGTTGCCGAGACGAAGATGATGCGGCCACCTGTCAGGCCGTCTTTGCTAGGCGTGGGGTTTCTCTTGGCCGACTCAACCAGGTACGGAAGAGTGGCTTTGAGGGTGTTGAAAGTTCCCAGCACGTCAATGTCCATGACAGCCTTGAAGGCGTTGGGGCTCATGGTGGACAAGGGTGCAATGAAGTTGCCGGCAGCGCCTGCACTACCGGGCCGTCAGTCTCGGAGCCGGATTGGACCCATTCAAAAGCGGCACTTACATGACAAAATCGATGCTGCCGAGCTCCTTGGCACATCTGTCGGCCGCGTCCTGCAGGTTCTGGGGCTGAACGGCGACATGTCAGTTTCCGATCTCTACGGGGGCGGCTGGTGCAGCGTTGCATACATTCCGGACGTCGCATCCACCGATGCCAATGACCTTGGCGCCTGGTCTCGCAGTGGCCAGGTCCTTGGCCATGGACTCTGTCTTTTCGACATTTCTGCCAATGATACACGCATTCGCTCCGAGGCGGACAAGAGCGCGGGTTTGGGCGCTGCAAATGGTTCCAGCACCGCCGGTGACAAAGGCAACTCTGTCATCTGGAAACACACGTGAGTCTCACCGGTGTTCCTGAGCAACAACAGTACCACGGGTAAACGTACTGAAAATCCCGTCCTTCCATACCGGACTCAGGTACTCGGACTCGGGAACAGGCATGATGGCAGAGAGTGTTTGTGAAGAACAACGCTTGAGGGTGAGGATGCGGTCTATTCCCAGGCAAACACGGCGCGGTGGATCTGCTTCCCACGAGATTGGTGAGGTAAGGCGGACTAAGCGTGAGAATACGACGACGACGACAATTCCGACTACAGGCCTCTGTGGATCCGATGGCTGCACAAAATGCCGGATGGTATGCCGATCTATGTGGCACAAGAAAAAAGAAACCAAAAAAAGGTCCGGCAGGAGTAGCGGTTGCTTTTGGGTGTCGGACGGCAGAGTGCAGCTCAGATCGCGGACGGTAGTGACGCGACGAACCTCGGTAAGGTCGGCGAACGGAGCCTGCCGCACGGTGCGAGCAATAGTGATTAGTCGACGGGTGTGCTTATGTCAGCTTTCTGCCAGCCGACGGGCCAAGGAACCCAGGTCCAAATGGCGGAACAGCACCTCACTCAACCATGGAGCGTGCTACAGCTGATTGGCGGGCATGAGCTACAGCGCGGAACAGCGCTGTGAGCTTGCCTAGGTTCATTGCTGAGCTCCTGAACGCACCACAACACCCTCACACTACCCCCTCCTACTTACCCCAGACGGACGCTAATTTAGCGCCCATCATCCCCGGAGCTCTCTCCTGATCCCCTGACGAACATCGAAACCGAAGAAATAGAGTGCCTCACACTTCTTCAAAAGGAATTGAGGGCGGGCCTATGTGAGCAGCACCCTAAGAAACCAACTCTTCTGGATCACTCGCTTTTTCGTGTAAACAGCTTTCGTTTGCCTCGGATTCGCCTACGTTCCCTGCGCTGGAACGACTCCTTTTCCCGTGGGGAATGGACTCTACTTCCACTGCCATCGTCCAGCGGCTCGACTAATTGTCAGCCTTTAACGACGCAGGCTTTCAAATTCCTCAAGCACACATAGAACCGCACAGATGCAGGATCTGTTCCGTCTTTATGGAACAGTAATACACCGCCTAGAAGATTAAGCAGGGACTTTGATCACAATCGACATCCCAACCCCTGAGTCGGGATGTAGCCCTGGCTGGGCAGCCCAGATGCGCCGACAACAATACCCACCTCGTTGTTGAATCTGTCAAATCAAAGCTTTCGAGGCCCTTGACTTATATGGATACTTTGCAAAGGAGTGAATGGGAATCGAGAGCGCAGTGCGCCAATGCTATCAACGTGCATGTTTTCTTCAGAGCAATGGGAGGGGTAGCATCTGTGGCTCTTGGACAGATAAATGGCACCATGCCCGTCAAACCTAAGGCAAGATTCATCATCTCTCAAGGAACGTTATGACACCCAAACGCCCATGATGCGCCAAGATTCTCTGGTCAACGACGGTCCGGTTATTGCCGCTGGCGAGAACGTAAGACCAATCGAACATGGGCTTTCTAGATTCATCTCATGGGTACTTATTATGGGACACGGATGATACCACATCGAGAATGGGAGAACCTATCACTCATACAAGGAGGGCAGTAAGTGTAACTATCAACCGGCTGGATGTATGGCATAAACGTGGCCTTACGTGCGTAGAATACAGCTATTCCAATGACGAAAAAGAGAACGAAAGGCTCGGTACGCTTCAACCCTGCGGTTCAAAAACCGAGCTTGTCTCACAGCTTCTCTAGATCTGCAACATAACCTGATGCTTCTCACCTTGCACGAGAAGTTAGGTCTAGCCCCGCCTAACAACCAGGATTACAGGGTCAAGCGTGTGCTCGACGTTGGAACTGGCACCGGACTCTGGGCGATCGACTTTGCTGACGAGCACCCCGACGCAGAAGTAGGTGAACCCTGCAAGCCATGAAAAATGGAACGCTCACACTTCCCGCAGGTTCTCGGAACAGATCTCTCTCCAGTTCAGACAACACAGTAAGTACAACATATTATGAATTCAGCTACTGCCGCTACTGTAGCTTACGTTTGGCAGTGTTCTACCCAACGCCAAGTTTGAGATTGACGACGTGGAAGAACCATGGACGTACAGTCAATCTTTCGATTATATCCATGTCCGCGGGATGACATCGAGCATAATCCATGGGCTAGAGACGACCATCATAAGCTCTTCGGCGAATGGACTGAGGAGAACTTCATGGAGGGTATCGAGGCTTGGACCCTTGCTCCATTGACCAGGGCTCTGGAATGGACGAGAGAGGAAGTCTTGGTCTTCCTGACACAGGTGCGGAAAGAACTGAGGGACAGAAGCATACGTGCATACCTTCTCATGTGAGTTGGAACCTTTCGTCTTCCTGGTTAACAGCAAAATCTGACAGTGCCAGTTTCGTGATTCATGGAAGAAAGCCTCTCCAGGCAGGCGACGAAGGGGAACAGTGACGAAGAGAAGCAACGAGGAAGATAAATAGTGAGGTTCAGCATGAGAACGATAGCCAGAAGGGACTCAGTCGCATGTTCTTAGACAGCTTGTTTTTGTTCTCCATTCGACAAGTCCTGGACATAATTTTATCGGCGATGAGTCGGGATTCCGGTGATTGATAACACAATCTATGTCTCTTATGCAGCACAACTTGTGCACGATTCTCAACCTCGGTGCAAGTTGGAGTGCGAGCAGAAAGCACGGATAATTTTAAGCTCAGCTTACCCCATATGATAGACCCACATAAGGTACCCAACCCCAAGCAGCCAACCAAACCGAAGCAAAACAACCAAAACAGCCCCTCTCTTCTGTATTCCCGCGCAAGCGGCAAGCGGCAAGGCGGGAACGTCGTCAGAGAGCGTCAGTCAATCAATCATTCCGACCCAACCCCATCCCCAAACCGAGACCTTTCTCTCGCGCCGTGCCTTACTTTCCCTCGACACCCAAGTGGTCAGGTCCCAAGCCAAGGTCAGATCAGGTTCAACGAAGGGTCACACCAGAACCCCCTCCATCAGCGACCAACCGACGACTACCATCCAGCAAGCCGTCAGATTTCGATTTCTGCGGCGACACTTCGACTCTTGCATCCTCATCATCATCGCACTTCTTTCTCTCCAACCTCCCCTCATTCATCTCCGAGTCTTCACCCCCCGCCACCATGACTTCTAAAGGAGTCTCGCTCCTGAAGTTCGTGGGAACTGTTTCCCTCGGTCTTCTGACTGTACGTCGCTGCCCCTGCTCTCTCTCTCCCCCGCTCGAACGCACCGACCCGGCCGGTCGTCGGGTCACCAGTGACGCCACTATTCCCATCCCCTCCAACTCCCCGCACTCGCATCCTGAACCCCGGCACTACTCGACAAAGACCCTGGCCCATAACTTTGCACTTACGATCCAAGCATCGCATCGCATCGCTTCGTCAAGCTGACTTTTGTAATCAACAGGGCCTCTCCTACTCCCTCTCGACTGTGACCGTCCCCTCGATCCTCTCCCTCCCCTCCGCATCCGACGCACTCCGAGCCTTCCAGAACCTCTACCCTAGCGCGAATACCCGTTTGCGCATTCTCACCGGAGTGTCCACCGCCTCGTTCCTCTTCGCCTTCTTCCTCTCTCCGCGCGCCTTCCGCCACCCCTACCTCGTCTACGCTTCCGTCCTCTGCCTCGCCTCCGGTGCCGCCGAGCAAATCACACCCTATGTCCTGAGCTCTCCTGAGTCCTCCTCGGAGGCTATCGCCGCTCGTCGTCAGGCCCGCCGTGAACGCGAGGACGCCCGCAAAGCCGCTCGCATCGCCCGCCAGGAGGCCCGCATGGAGGCTAGCTACGAGGTTCTCGGCGACACCCACAGCGACGCTGCGAGCGACGGCGAAGCCGCCGCCGCCGCCGCTTTTGCCGAGGAGGAGGAGAACTTCAACGGCGAGGAGATCCGCGTCGTGGTTGATGGCTTCAGGAAGACCCAGATTGTGCAGACGGCCATCGCCTCGGTCGGTTTCCTGATGTCCGTCATCGGCATCTGGGGCGACGGCGCCATCCAGGTCTTCCAGACCGAGACCGTTATTGTCGGTGTATAAGAAGCGTTGATGACCTGCGAAGAGATATGATTATTGCAAGATTGTTTGCGTATAGGAGTCAAGATATTGAGGGGGGCTGGGAACACGATGCTACATCACTACCACTGTCTACGAGGCACTGTCGAACTCTTTCATTCTCCCTTACTTACCCCGACTAATTAGAGTCGGGCAACTGGCAAAAATAGACCACCGAAGCTATATTAGGGAATAATTTCGCCTTTATACTGCTCACCTAGGCACATGAGAATTCGACGCTGATACACGGCATAATTGATTCATTTCGCTGTATTGGGATAACTAAACCGTGGCCAGGCATGTGATGCTAATCCTACTGGGCTAGGCCAGAGTCTGCGATGCGCTCACTGTCCAAAGATGTCGAGACTTTCAAGCCTGATGACTTCCTAAGACTTGAGTCTCTCGCTTCCGGCCATGTCATCCTGGGCATCCTTAATCAAGAACCTGCAAAGTCATTAACACAGTGTTATGGATCAGATCGTTAAGGCCAAACTTACCTGTACATCAGTATTGTCGGCGGAATGGTGCCCAGATGCCAAAGACTATGCGCGTCAAGAGCGCCAAATAAGGGCGGAAAGTCGAACAACTCGAGACTCATGACAGTAACGATGATGGCGACGACGATACTCGGCCAGATAGCCCATACCCTGCGCGTTTGCCTGTACTTGTTGTAACTGAACCACAGCCACATCAGGTTCTGGATCACTCCGACGACAACGTTTGCCGCCATGTTGTAGGTATAATCCCAGCGCACACCCTTCAGGTACGCAACGTGCCCCGCATACAGCAAGACGCACAGCAGAGTCCACGCCCTCAGAACGGACCGTCTCCGCGGCGTTGGACGGTCTAGACGCATGACGCGCACCACGGTGTAGTATAACCCATACAGCACGTTGGCGCCGGCGGCGAAATAGTCAAGCTGCTCCGTCGCAGCAAAGTCGCGCGTGTGGAAAATGGCGCTGAAGGTCCACGAGGCCACTCCGACGGCCGCGAGCCAGGTGTACCAGGGCATCAGCGGGTACGAGGCCGGGACGGCAGCGCGGAACTTGCGCAGGCCGTCCCAGTGAGCCCAGAGGTTTCCTAAGCTGAATATCGTGCTGAAGGGCTCCTGGCATCCGAGGAAACGGTGGAAGGGCCACTTTCCGTGGAACTGGACGACGCGCTCGCCGGCGGCAACGCGCTTCTTGGTTATGATGTGCTGGCAGGTGTAGTCGCATTCGGAGGAGCATGTCCAGAGGAGGAGACGACGGTGGAGGGCTGCGAGGCGGGGAAGTTTGGTCAGCTTCATGTGTGTGGTCTTCCAAGGGGGTCAGCAAAGGGGGACGGAGGCGACGTACGGATCGGGGTAGCATCTTTGCCGGGAGCGCAGTTCTCATCGTGGCAGACCTGGATCGCGGGGAAACGAGGAAGAGAATGTCAGCCTATGGAGGTCGTAGACCATGCTTTGGGGGTCATCTCGCGCGCGGGTGTGGTGGCACCAACTTGGACGCATTCGCGGAACTCTGGCATGCGATCGCCGTATGAGGCCTCGACGGTTGTCGCGAAAACCAGGAGGGCGGCGAAGACGGCTAGGAACAGAGGAGACCGTGATCGTCTCCCCGCTCGTGGAAACTTCATGGCGCGGGCATTTATCGATTCGTCGTCTCGTTGCTGGTGTTGTTGTCGTCGTCGTCCTCGCAGTCAGCGTCGCGTGAGGCGGGTGCGGGAGGGTTAAAGTCAGAGACTTGCTGAGGTGGTACGGGTTTCTTGGATTGCTACGGGACACAAGGGTTCGGAGGTCTCGGGCGCTTGCTGCCTTGCTTGTCACTGCTTGAATGGAGGCCCGGTCATTTTGCTGGCGGGGAATTAGCATGTGTGATTGGCCTGTTTTCTGGGGCATCCCAAGACGTGGGGTTCAGCTTAATTATCCGATCTCTTTTCCAGGGGCTCCCAGTCGTCTTCAACTTTTCATCATTTGTTTATTTCCTTCTGGCGATGCATCGGGGATTAGGTGACTGCAGCTGATAGATCGCACTGGTTTTTGCTTCCTGAGTGATCCTTCTTCTGGGAATGGAGATAGAGGTCAACCCATCTGCCACTTCACCGTCCCAGCTGGGCTTGGGCCAGAAAGCTCTGGTCGTTGTGAAGTCCCTGCCATGATGCTTGGAATGCAGCCTAATATTGTCGAACCCCCCACCGCCTCTGGGCCCATTAAAGATCAATGAGGGCGCTTGCGGGTGGGACAGAATGGGCAGTGGGCCGAAAAGAAATACACGCGATGCCAAATTTGTCTTTGCAATGACGGAACAAAACTAGTATCGTCGGTATGGAGAGGTTGAAAAGTCCTCTCGGGTATCATAACTATTAATCCCTATGAACAGCTCTATTGCTTCGGCTCATGGCCGTTGCCAAGACACGCGCAGCATCAAGCAACCAACAATGACCGGAGCACTGCTTGCAGCCAACGGAGTTTTTCTTTCCTTCATGTCCCAAACAACTGTTCGTCAATTCCCCCCTCTATTCCACTTCGGATTCGAACATGGACTTGAGTGTAATCATTTGTTCGTAATACTCTCTATCCAGGGGGCTGGTGGTTTGGGCGCTGAAGCCCTCTTGGTAGCGCATTAGAACACCATGAGCTCGTAGGAATGGGTGCTTGTAAGCGTCGAAATTGATGACCACCGGCGTGAAGAGCTCAGGAAAAGTAGCGTAGTCCAGGAATGCCGGGTTGCGGTGGCACTTCTCCTGGATTTGGGAAGCCCTCACATGCTCCAGGTGGCGTACAACTTCCAGTTGAAGTTTGTTCGGTTTCGTGTCCAAGTAGAAATCTCCCGATAGCCATTCTTTGGCGAATTCATCAGCCTCATGCCTTCGGATATAGCTGATGAACTCCTGTTCGAATTCAGGCGACCATTTGCCCTCGCCCATGAATGCATGGCGGCCATCCCTCGTGGAGAAACGTCGATCAAACATCTTCAGGACAGCCCTTTTGGGGATATCCGGGGGTCCATTGGAAATATAGACTTCCATGACGTTCCAAGTGTGTGATTGGAAGACTCGCTGGATGATCAACGTCATTGCCTGTGGGACTTGACGGTCGTCTTTCTCCAGCCTGTGGACATAGATGACGTTGCCACGATAGTAAGGAGAACTGTGAATGTCAGCCGGATGCGGTTGGTCGTAAATGTTTCTTGTCGCTTACTGGGAGTATGCTATTCGGATCCAGTCCACGACACTGTCGAAGACGTATCTAATTCTATGAAGTATGCGCTGAATGGCTCCCAAGACGCGTTCGATTCCTGAGCGAAGAAACATGGCGATCTGGGGCCCGAAATAAGAGCTCCAATTGTAGTTTGTTGATGTTTATACGAAAGTTTCTGTGCCGGGGTTTGAAGCACTGCTAATGGCGAATTGATGCATAAGAAGATAGCGTCGTTTATGAAGTGGGATGGAAAAAGATCGTTGCCAGGAAGCGTGCATGTACCTTCAAAGTGGGCCCCGCATGTTGAGCCTACCCGATTTGGTAATCAGCTAAAGCTCCAGTGGGTACCTACCTGCCTACCTACAAGAAGGTGTGGCGCTAGCAACGGCCATGTACTGACTTCTTCCAACTGGTCGTCTCGGCGAGTACTGCTGTAAGTGGCTTCGGTGAATGCAAGACTGCTGCATTCAAGGATACGAATTGAAAGATGGCAGGCATAAGGGGGCGTTTTGGTAATGGTCGACCTTTCTTGTCACTTTCACTTACACAACCCTTAAAGTTGGCGGAAGTGCGTTTCAGTTGCACAGCCGTGGGAAGCATTCACACCGTCGATGAAGGTTGATATGCTTCTAATAACCCAAATTTCTGGATAGATAAGCGGATGGAAATATGATTCGATTTCGATTCTAGGCTTTGATCCAGTGTCTTTTCAATCTCTAGCCCGACTCAACCCAGCCGCACAGATACTCACCGGACGCCATCCCTTCCGCATAAGGTTTCATCACGCGAGACGGAAACTCTCCTAGCGGGGGCGAATTCGCAACTTCTGCTAGAGCTATATCCAACTCTTCTACAAAAAGAAGAAGCTCACCGACTCGGAGAGCTTTCAGATGAGACCCGTCCCAACTATCCCGCTCGTCGGAGGCTGGCACGAGGTCCAACTAGGAGACATCAGATCGGCGGTTTGCCACGGACCGAGAAAAAGTGTTTTTGGTTATGCACGTAGGGTCCTGCTAACGTGGTAGAGAAGAAAGTCTCTCTCTCTGCCCAGTTTACTACGGACGTCTGGGCGCCAGCCATTCAGCTCATAGTAAATACAGCCACGTCCGATACGAGATTGATGTCAATTCAAGTCATACGGCAGTCAACAAGGTGCGCCTCCAGGCGGAGAAGAAAAAGTTAGAAGGGAAGAAAGATAAGTATATCCATCCAGGAAACACATCGTGACAGCCTTCTGAAGTGTTTCTAGAACCAAAGCGACGATAAGGCTGTTATCGAAATCTACCCTGAAGAAACGCAAGAAACATAGCTTGGTCATATTTTTGGGGGCCAGACGTATCCATCAAGTTTCCCGAACACATCATCCTCGGAGGCCCTGAAAGATTCTCTCCGGTATCGAATCTTCTTCTGTAGTGGCTGAGTCGCAAAGGCAGACTGACGTTGAGCAAGACCTACAGACTCTGCACTGCTCTGAAAGTCCCATCACCATCACCAACGCAGAGCATCCAAGTGACCGTTCAGGAATCATGTCAAATGTCCTTTCAACTTGAAAGCTAAAAAGTCTGGGTTGTCGCAAGGCTAAGAAAATCCCAATTTCTCCCAACGCCATGCCCTCAGACTCATCATATATGCCCCTAATATACCCCAAAACCCGTAATATACACAGAGAAACTTTTTCGTCGTCAACCCAAGCCTCACCACAAATACGGCGGCGGTATCGCCAGCATCCAAGTGTCAAGCCACCTCGACGCCGCAAATCCCGCAATGAACCCTCCCATCGCAATCGAAAACATGACGGCAGCCGTCAAGCTCGGGCTGACGTCGTGATCCAACCACGTCTTCCTGAACCTCAGCTTGCCCACCCTCATGTGGAACATCTCCTCTACGTCGACGATCCCGCGGTAGTTCGGCTTCAGCTCGGTCGAATCGCGCTCCGAGAAGTGTTTTCTCTGCACCCTTCATCGCCGTGTCAAAGGATCAGCCCTCGCTTTTAGCCCCGTCTGGTCAGTCTCTTCAACACTGGGGGGGTTTGGAGAAACAGGGTAAAGGCAAAAAAGAAACTTACAGCAACGTGAGGCAAATGTCACCCTGCAACCTCGCCTTCAGCTCGAGCTCGGCGTCGAGGTTCAGGCCGATTTGCAGCCGTGCGGGCTTGGACTCGGAGAGGCGCGGGATTACGGTGGGGGCAGGGAGGGTTCCCTTTGGCTGGGCGACTTGCTTGTTGCGGTTGCGGCGGCGGCGACGGCGGGTGCTGCCATCTGAGGAGACGCTTGAAGCGCCGCCGATACTGGATGCAGAGTCGTCTACTACATTCTGGGCCTGAGGAAGCTTTAGTCAGAGGGTTTTCTCCTGAGGGGGTTTCGCCCTCTTGGTAATGTAGCTACCTTTGTGCTCGTCTTTGTGTCTATTGAGATGTTGCAGGGAGCCATTTTCTCTTCTTCGGAGTCCTTCTTCTGGGCGCGGGAGGGAATGTAGTGTGGAATCATCGATCGTCTGTAAACAGAATTGGGGTGCAAGACGTGTTGGCGGTCTTGCCTGTGGTTTCGATTAAATGTCTAGAGGGGCTTTGATGCTGCAAGTCTTTTTCGGATATAATTTCAGAACAGAGCTAAGGAACAAGCAGATTTCCAACAATAAAAACATCTCTCCAGAGGTTGGGATGACAACTCTCCTATATACCCTCCCCGGATCCCCCCGACTCGCCGCACCCGCAAAAACCACCACCACCACCCCGGCAACTTCTGAAATCTGTTTCCGAAATCCAGCACTCCGTGAAATGCCCACCTCTGCAAATCATCCCAAAAAGTTTCCCAGACTCATCCTACTTACACGGACCCCTTGGAAGCCCCTTCGTTGCAGCGTCACGTGATGGGTCGATGGTGGAGTAAAACGGATCGAAACCTCGTACGATGCCGTTCAACGCTGAAACGGTAATGCAACCTCGACGTCGCCCATCACCCAGCGTGTCAGACAAGGGGGAGCCAGACTCCAATGATCTGGCCTCCCACGGCCCGTCTCTGCCAATGCGGATTCCTGTCGCCGGGTGCAGGGTGTACTAACGGGATTTCGCCATCCTTCAGAAGAGCCTCTCAGAACCCCCGGCAGAGGAAGATCAGGGTCCTCGTTACCGAACGTGGTCGTCGTCCAAGTAAAGAGGGTCAAACACTCATCAGTGACCCCTCGTATGTTTGAATTGTCGAGCACGCGTCCATCGAGTAGAGATAGCGGGAATCACAGGAGACGGGCATATTTGGATACGGGTTATCGATTGGCCATTCATATTATCGAATTCTCTTGATATTCGCCTCGAGCTTTTCCACGCGACGATGAAAAACACACCAAAACTCCACATGTATGCGCCGCGCATGCTGACCCGCCACCTTTCGTCCCATCCCAACCCAACCCAAACGAACACCCCTGCCGCCAAGGTATCTAGTTGGGAAATCTAATCATGCAGTACGAGAACCAACGAGGTGTGTGTCTCGATGGAGGCAGCCATACCATAACCCATTGAGAGCCTCGCTGCGGTGCTTTGACAAGCAGGATGAACCTTTCCGTCCTTCCGAAAGGCCTAGACTTTCCCCGGCTTTTCTACCGATGCCCTCCGCCAGCTCAACAACGCTTCAGATTCAGCCCTCGGGCCTGGGGAAACGGGACATCGGATGTCCCAGTCCGCAGACTCGAAGACACACACGATGACCCAAAATGAAAAGACTTTTGTGTCGATCTTCGTTTTGTTCCTCTTAACCTCTTTTCACTCTCAAGTGCTCAACAAGTCCCTCACTGACATGCCACGCCCAGCGCCGCGAGAAGCGTTGGTGCCGTCACCGCCAACAGTACCTCTCCTGTCGTTGTTCAGCATCAACAAGGCGGCCGTCGCCTCTTGGTCGAGATCCCGCTGCGGCGCCAGCGCGGGGCTGGTAAGCGTCGAGAGCGAGCCCGAGGCGATGCCGTGGGGGTAAGGATACTGCTGCGGGCCAAAGGCCGGGGACGTCGTCGCCGACGATGCGCTGTAGCTGTAGTGACGATGGTCCGTCGACACAGACGAGTACGAATCGTGGCGGTGCCTCGAGTCCTGTGCGAGCAGCGCGGGGGACGGCGATACCGACGGCTGCTGGGACCGGGAGTGTTGGGCGGGAAAGGTGGGTGACGGGGCCTCGGAACCGGTCATTTCGACGTCGTCGGGTTCTTGTTGGTACTTCGGGACGAACTGCGGGATGGAGCCCCACGGATCGCGGCCCGACGGCGTCTGCAGGCCGGACTCGGTGGGGGAGACCCCCTCGGACGCGTCCCGCTGGGCCTTCAGCTTGGCGACGCAGTCTTCGAGGTATCTGACGTATTCGATAGAGGCCTGTGTTAAGCCCGGGTCAGCATCATGTTCTTTGTTGCCATGTTATGTCGAGTTGATCGCACTCACTTGCAGAATAGCCAGCTTGTGCATCTCTCCGGTGCATGCCGGGATCATGCCCTTCAGCACAGCAAACTCCTCGTTCATTTTAGATCGGCGGCGACGTTCAATCAAACTGTGCGCCGTTTTCCTCGCAATCTTCCGCCCGGCCGCGCTCGTCGCCGATGGCTGCTTCTTCTTGGACTGCTCCTTCGTGGACGCGGCGGCTTTCGCCGGGCCCGATGACTTGGTACTGGCGGGAGCCTCTTCCGGCTCCTCCTGCGGCCGGGGCTTCATCTGAATAATCTTGCGGGACCTCGTGGGCGGCGGGGGAAGGGCGAAGTTCTCGTTCGCGGCCTTCTGGGCGGCTGAAGACCTCCGCCGGGACTTGACTGCTTCAGCGGGCTGTACGGGGTACGGAGTGACCTTGGAGGGAGAGATGGGTTGGAAGCCGGAGTGGGGGGATGTCCTCGTGTCGGTGGGCGAGACTCTCGAGGCGTCCTGCGTCAAGGCTGCCGGGGGCAATTCAAAAGCCAGCTGCAGCGAGGCCAGGTTCTTGGAGCCATCTTGGCCCTTTATGTCTGTTGAGGATGCCGGCGTGGGCGGCAGCGTGGGACGCGGCATTCTGAGATGGTAGAATGTGACGACGGGGGGACGGGGCGCGAGCGGCCTTGAGAGAAAGACCAGACTCCCCGAAAGGTATTAGTAGAGTACGGCGAGCCGAGTGAGGAAACTGGACGCCTAGGCTGGACGACAAATCGGTTGACGTCGGTTGTGAGGCTGTGCCCGCGGGAAATCGATGCCGGATGGTGAGGGACTGAGGTCGCTGTCGGCTGGTGAGGCTTGGCGTTGATGAGAAGCGCCCGTCGGGGTTTCTGGCCAAGTAGGAGTCAAAGTCCGATTCGTGGTGTACGGTCACAGGATGGGTCCGTGATTGCAAAGGGGAAAGAGAGGCACGCGACGATGGGGAGTTGAGGGCATAGTTGAAGGGTTTGTGGAAGTAAAGTAGCAGAGGCGGGGGGGAGAGGATGGTTAAAGATACGGCACGGGAGATGGGATTGAGCACGAGTTGCGCACACACGCACATTAGCAAGTAACTGACTCTCATTCTCACTATCCTTGGCACGTCGTTCCTCACCTCTTTCTGCTCTATCTACAACCCCGGACTGCGGCTAAATCTGTTAAGACGCTTGCCTCAGATAGCGGCCAACCTCTTAGCAGGCGCGTAGCAGGCCACGCCCCCCATCTCTTACATGGGGAGGGGGGTGGTCCATGTTTCTGGACGATACCCTGATGAAGGTCCATGGGGATGCGGATAGGGATAGGACGGCAGTGGTTGGTGGTTTGGGGGGCAACGAACTAGGGAGAGGGAGAGAGGGCACGCGACTGCGAGCCAGAAGTGCCAGAGAAAGGAACCCATAAACAATGGACGAAAAGAAAGTGAGGAGCACAAGCACAGCCTGGCCGGCAGCAGCCCTGGAGAACAGCAAAGATGACGGGCAACAGAGAACGGCCCAATCAGAGGTTCGGACGCAGGCTCCTGGGCGAAGAAAAGGGCAGGAGAGGCATCGTCGAGAGTCGACGAGGTTGGCCAATCAGAGCGGCGGAATCGAGCACATGGGGTTCCTGAATGGTCTCTGGGCGCCCGCAGACGGTTTGCTTCCTACTCGAGAGAAACGTCAATCAACACGGCCACACAGGCCACATGGATCATTTGCAGACCCCTTGCCCGCGCTCACGCCTTCGTTGTGTGGGCTTTTCAAGGTCCCAGTCCGGGGCTGGCCTCTACCGCAGTAGTCTGATGCAGCGACCTGGGGTCCAGAGCCAGAGGCACGAGACATGTGCTCGAGGTGCGGTTGGACGACGGCTTCGATCGTCGACGACCGTTGTTTTCTGAGCCGTGTCCCATCTGTGGCTGGTAACAGTCGTGTGCGCATCTGCGTGCCCTTGATGGCGATTGAGCTGAATCGCATGCAGATGGCGATGGATGACGACCCCCCTCCTTTTGCGAGCTCTGGGCCCGCTTGCAAAGTGAGCACGTGGGCGGTTTGCTGCTGTAAATCCCCCCAGTGGGCTCGTGGACGCGGTTGACCTTGTTCGTCTCAAATGCTTGGACTTGAGGTTGTCCAAACTGAGGCCAGCTGGACTTGTACTCAAGAGGCCGCCTGGCAAGCATCGATTATGAGCGAATTGATCGCCGTGACTTCGCTGCAGAGGCATATGGAAACGGGCTAGCTGAGCTGTCATGATCGGATTTCCTCTTTCTGAGTTCCCGTGCAGCAGCGCGTGTCTCCTCTCTCCGTCTCCTCAAAAATAGAGTTTGGTCCCGATTTTCTCTCCAAGTGGAAGCTCTGTTGCGGCGTGCCTCCCCCCAACCTGGAAGCCAGAACGTGGGCGGGCTGTCTGTTCCCGATTTAGCCTAGCGCCCGAACCCTGGAAACGGGGGGCTGCTGTGGGCGGGGGCTTTGCAGGGGGCCGGTTCGCGGGTGCCGTGATGGCTCACGCACGGCACGAAGCTTGTCGATGCCGATTCTCCTCCACTCACTCGGCCGCTACCTCCAACAGGCGCACGTGACGGTTCACTGTTCACTAACACCACCGACTTGGGTATGAGAATCGCCAAGTCTTGGCAGAAAATCACTCATGTACGGCCGCTTTGCGAGTTGTCTGAACGGCCCGGACACCAAACTCGTCCATGCATCCAAAGATATCCATATTCCTGACTAGACCCAAACAAAAAGGTGCCTCATTAACATCGTAGCAATGTGCCTAAGTCCCTCACACCTTGGTGATGAGGGTTTTCCAAAAATCCCATGTCGCCAAACAAACCCGATCAAGTTACAGCATTCCGCACCGTCGTCGTTGAGCCACTTTACACCTCGTTGCTGGGGTAAATGACCTTCGTCGTCGCCGCAAACTCTTCCTTGATACTCCTCAAGCTGACGAAACGGCTGAGCAGGTTCGAGCTGCCCGCCTTGTCATTGGTGCCACTGGCTCTGCCACCGCCGAACGGCTGCTGACCAACGACCGCGCCGGTGCTCTTGCAGTTGATGTAGAAGTTACCCGCAGAGTTGCGCAACTTGTCCTCGGCGAACCTGATGACCGATCGGTCCGAGGCAAATATGGATCCTGTCAAGCCGTACTCCCCAGTTGAGTCAACGAGATCGCAGGCCTCCGAAAACGCATTCTTGTTTGTGACGTCGTCATACACGTGCACTGTGAGTACAGGGCCGAAGAGCTCGGTGCTCAAAAGCTTATGGTTCTTGTTGGTTGTCTCGTAGATGGTAGGATGGATGAAGAAGCCCTTCGACTTATCATACTTGCCTCCCGCTACAAGGGTCAGCTCCTTGTCGTTCTTGGCTTCGTCAATCACGCCAGATAGCTTGTTGAACGACGCCTCGTGGATGACAGGACCCATGAAGTTCCCGTGTTCGGCAGGGTTGCCAATAGTAATTTTGTTGACCTCGTTCACGAGACCCTCCTTGAACTTGGGCCAAACCGACTTGGGCACGTAAGCCCGCGACGTCGCACTGCACTTCTGACCCTGGAACTCGAAAGCACCACGGACCGTCTGCTTCACAGCGTTGTCGATATCAGCGGATGCATGGATAAGGTGGAAGTTCTTGCCGCCCGTCTCGCCGACGATTCTTGGGTAAGATTGGTAGCGGCCTTCAGCCACACCAGAACCGATTTCACCATACAGTTTGCGGAAGACGGCAGTGCTACCGGTGTAGTGAAGAGCAGCAAACTTCTTGTGCTTCAGCGCGACCTTGGTGACTTCCTCAGGGTTACCAGGCACGAATTGAATAACGTCGCGCGGCAAGCCAGCCTCCAGCAAGATGTTGTAGACCAGCCAGTTTGAAAGAATAGCCGAATCGCTGGGCTTCCAGACAACGACGTTACCGAGCAGAGCTGGGGCTCCAGGCAGGTTCCCAGCGATTGCAGTGAAGTTAAATGGGCTCACAGCGTACACGAAGCCCTCAAGAGCCCTGTACTCGACCCTGTTCCAAACACCAGGAGAGTTGTGCGAGGGCTGCTGAGCGTACAGCTCCTCGGCATACTGGACGTTGAAGCGCAAGAAGTCTGCCAGCTCTGCAGCAGCGTCAATCTCGGCCTGCCACGCGTTCTTGCCTTGGCCCACCATTGTTGTAGCCATGATATCGTAGCGGTATTTGCCCGAGATCAGGTCGGCGGCCTTGAGGAAGACGGCAGCTCGGTCGGCGAACGGCAGGGATTCCCACGCAGGCTTGGCGTTGAGGGCAGACGCGATGGCTTGGGAAACATGTTCCGGTGTCGCCTGATGATACTTTGCGACGGTGATAGCGTGGTCGGCGGGATTGAACTGTTCTCCGACAATGCCTGTCTTGGTCTTGGGAGTCAATCAGCACATCGTCCCTCATTCGTAAGCGGGCAATTAAGACCAACCTCTTTTCCTGCGACGACAACGGGAACCTCCAACGGCAATTGTGTGTTCAACTTATCAATGGCAGCAGTCAAGCCTGCGCGTTCAGCTGAGCCCTTGGCATAGTGGTGCTGTGTATTTGTCAGTCAACTACCCCTCACCACCCAGCTTCTTCCAGGCTTCGTCCTTGGGACCTGCAACCCACGTTTGGCTCGTTGTTCACTTTGGGAACTTTGAAAGCAGCGAATGTCGCCGCTCTAGTGGTCGTTCTCGTCGCAGAGATGGCCAGGCGGGTTGACTGTCCAATAAGCGATGCAGCGGAGGCTCTCCGTCCAATGGATGCAATGCGTGAGGCACTCCGCAGCTGGGAGTTCAACAGCCCAGAAGCTCGGGTGGAAGACATGGTGGACAGGTATGCGAAACGACGCCGTCTACAAAGATCAAGTGGCCAAAAGCTGGGCCTCCTCGGACGCGCACAAATCAATTGATAAGCCTGGCAAAGACCGTCTGTCGGCGATTTGGAGAGAGCAGTTAGGAGGAGGAGGGGAAGACAGCGTGGAGGAGAAGGAGAGCGGAAACCAGTTGGTTATTAAGCTTCGGCGCGTCGGAGGCGCAACGTAATGAAAAGTCGTGAGTCGTGAGACATGCACCGTCGTTCCTAGATGCCGGCAACCATCAGGGCGCAACACACGGGTTGATGCGGGTTAAGAATGCGTGGGCAACGAGAAAGCTCATGAGGGGCTGCGGGGCTTGCCTGAGTTCAGAGGGACCTGGAATGTCATCCCGAATGCAATGACGTGGGGTCTTGCTGCGGTCCCCTGCCGATAACAGTGGGCTTGGATGCTTATCACGGTTTGCGGGGTAGTTTCCCGCCAATAAGATACTCCAATTGTGCTGCAATCTGACGCTCTGGCCGAGATAAGAGGTTGACTAGGCGATAAGGGAAGGTCTCTTGGGGAGCTTCCGATCCCGACACTGTAAAAGTCGGAACGACCCTCCGACCCGACGTCGGGACAGGCCTGGGGACGTTTTATCGAGAAATTAGGTTCAATCTCTACTGTTTTCAAAGGATGATTTGATTGCAGAAAAAGTACAGTAGGTATCTTGTTTTCAGTCCTTACATTATTAATTTTTGGCGCAACAGAAAAATCCAAACAAGAAAATGCACAAATGAAGCGAAGCCCGACCAAGTCCGGACTGTGAAGATGCACCCGCATATCTTATCTTTCGGCCGTCTGCCGCCGTTGCGAACTTGGCCTCCTCCTCTTCAAGGGTATATCATTATGTAACCATTCATCTTCGGATAGAGCGTCCGATCATGCTAGCGACCACGCCCAGCGTGCTTATTCCCCGTCACCGTTGGGTCGCTCTTGCTCAGGGAATGGCATCACACGCTCCGGCTTGGAGTTGTACTTGAGCAAAGGCACAGTCAGGCCGTAGCCTTCCGTAATGCCTTCGGGATCGTGCTGGTTGACCTCGACCCGGATGCAGATATCCAGACTACCATCGTTGCCAGTACCATGTTGCGCCGTAGCCGCCTTGTGCTTGGAGCCAGACTCGATCTCACCGAGGTGCAGGTAATCGTGCCCGCCCTTGCCCGAAATCGTCGACCTTGCATCTCCATTGATCGACGGCGCTGCGAGTCCGCGGTTGGGCGAGTTCTCCGTCAAGATGGCAAAGTTACGGCTGGGCATGGTCACATGGTTGGAGCTTGACGTCTTGCTCGAGTCGCCCGGATCCTTATCGAAGAACTTGAGAAGCGTCTCGTCTGTATCGTGGTTCAAGTGGTGGATCTTGTTTCGTCTCGCCAGCAGGTTGGCGATCGCAGCCGGCGGTGGCTTGTTGGTGATGGCAGATGACACCACGTTGGCCATGTATCGGTGGTCGTTCTCGGTGGCAATGTTCAGACGGGGGTGCGAGTAGAAGCGGCCAAGTGCGGCGAGATGCACGTCGCCGCCGAGAATGGTGATGCGAACCGAGAATTCCGATGCGATAGCCTGGAGTCTTTCGACCAGAGCTCCGCGCTCCTTCTTGTGCGTTCTGGCCGTGTAGTGGTCATCGAGGTCATCAAGCAAGTCGACACTGCCATCGAAGTGGTTGAAAACACCGCCAGCTGTCTTGGTCAGCAAAGAAAAGCGGCCGGAAGTTCTGATTGCACACACCAAGACCGAATCTTCGGTTCAAGAACTTGACCGGTCCCATGATGGGGCTTCTGAAGACGTTCTCCAGCCACGTAAGGCGCTAGCACCGATCAGCTGGTTCACCTACACGTTAAAGAAGTCAAGACAGTTTCCTACCGGATACGCAATCGGGATTCCCAACAGCAATATCAAATGCTTCAAAGGGCGTCCTGATTCAGCGGCAGTCTTCAACTCATGTCTGAGGCGGCTGAATATCAAGTCATATGTCTCGGGGTAGTTGATTTGGTGTCTCGTACGCTACACTCGGTCAGCCGAAACAACCTCCTTGTCGGTTTCTAAGACAGCCCTTACCTCAGTTCGAGCGTCAATACCCAGGAAGGCGATACGCGCTCCCAGTCGGGCAAACATGTTGTGCGAATGCTCCGCCACGTACGGCTGCAACACGTCAGTACTCGAGAGAATGATATCAACTCAAGGTATGCTTACGCCAGGCTGTGTTCCAACAATGTAGCTCGGGTCAGACTTTGCGGGTGCTACATAGGTGTCCATGAGTTGGTTAGGGTCAAGTCCCTGCCCTTCGGTGGTGGTCGTGCGATCTGTGCTCCTGTGAGTCCAACGGTCACGTTTGTCTCATGCAATGGTTACTCACCGGATGTGTAAGTCGATACCGGGGGAGGCAAGTGGTGCTGAAATAGCATGTAGTACTTGTGAGCAGTTCCGCCAATGCCCCTGAAGACGTCGCATCGCATGAAATCGTCGACATAGGAACCGAATCCGTCGATGATCTGTTGCCAATCAGCAGAGCTTCTCCTTACATGCGGGTTTCAACGCACGTCGTGGTCGTCCCAGATATTGACCTGGGGAATCTGGCCGTTGGCCGTGGCGAAGGGCTCAGTAGAGTACCTGGACTCAGTCAGAACTGCACCTGCGCTCAGAAACTGCCTCACACTCACCATCGAATGTAGTTCTTCAAGTAGTAGTCATCGCAAGCTTGGCGGAGCTTCTCCGGGAAGGGAAAATGCCTGCGCTTTTTGGGATTCGAGATATCGGTCCACTCGCGCAAAGGACCGTCGACTCGAATTCCGTCATTGTAAATCTGATCGCCACCCCCAAGCCTAGACACAAGTTAGCAACACAGAGGGCAATGATCCGAAACACTGGACGCACATGACATGAAACGGACGTTCCTTGTGATGTCTGTTGACATCGTTCCACAGGGCGGGACCGCTCCAAGCATCCTCGTCGGTGCCAACACTGAAGCCGTTGCAAGAGTGGAACATGATGCGCATCGACTCGTTAACGGCGGGGACAAAGAAATGGTAGCGGTCTGGGCGGATACTGGAGAAGCGCATGTCGGGTATCAGGTACTCCCACTTAGCCTCGGCCTGGGATAGAGGAAGCGACAAGTCAAACGCCCAGAAGGTGTTGCGCGGGTCTGAGTAGAGGCATTGGCCCTGGATTTCGGAGCTGTTCGCGCCAGCGCCGTTTGCGCCGTTGGAGCCTTCACCATTGACGGTACCATTCGTTCCGTTAACGCCATTCGCCTCATGAATAACCTGCTGGGTGTCGGCAGAGCCCGCGGGACGCAGAATGAGGTGCGGCGCGAAGCTCTGCGTCTTTCCCCCGCCCTTAGCGACGATCAAGACGCTTCCATACCAGCGATCCGCGTCCATCCTGCGGTAGTTGAGTAGAGGACCGCAAATGATCTCCTTGCCATCGGGAGCGTCTGGCTGCTCATAGGAGTGGGCGGTGGTCGCGCGAGGCTGCTCGTCGCCGGTGGCCTCGCCGGCAGCGATCATGATGGGCTTGAAGTTTGGTGCGGCGTTGGGGTTCTCGGGCTCGACGCGGTCGCGGTTTAGGAAGCTGGCAAGATCGTTTGTGGTACCGCGGTCCTGAGGGTCGCGGGGCACTGCGTGGGCCTGGGCGGCATGGCGCGCGAAGGCAGAGCTCTCTTGATGGCGCCATCTGTTGGCGGACGCGTGAGGGTTGTGGCCAACGTCATCGAGAGCCTCCCCTTGGGAGTGGTGAGACGACATGATGGCGATTTGTTATTTTCAGGCCGGATTTTGTCGTTTTCGGCTTCGATTCTGAATAACCAGCTGTTAGAATATGTGAAGGCCATGAGAACAGCTCTGAGCAACTGTGGCTCCTTACAATGTCTCGGCGCAAATTAGCCTGCCAGGGTCTGTTTGCGCGCCTGTGAGCTCTCGAGAGCTGGTCAGCAGGGGGTTGTTGTTTGCGATTGCGCGGCAACGAGTATATCAACAGTCGGGTATCTGGTATTACGGGAGGGACAGAGGCAAAGCGAGGAAGGGGAAGAAAAAAAAACCGGGAACAGAGGGAAAAGAAAGGCAACTGGCGACGAGAGGGTGTTGCCAAATCCCACACCATAAATCGCACGAGAAAAGTGTGTTGTGTTGGATTGGATGCTTGTTTGGCCGGGTAGTGCAAAGTGACGCGGGCTAGGAATGAAGTGGCAGGGATTGGCGTCAGTGGGCACCTCCGCTACGCAACCACTGCGAGCAACGCCGCTAGAAGCTGCCTGTCGAGCTGCACGGTGGACCAGGGGCTTTCTAGGGGTGAACCTGGGACGGACCTGACCCGAGCGTGTCCGTGGAGTTCACGGGGGCAGAGGTGCTGCGGCGCTGACGCTGGAGATGATGGCAATCGCCGTTTGAGATGGATGTGCAATATTCTTCTTGCTGGGGTGCTCTTTTGTCGCAAGTTTAGGCTCAGATTTACGGAGGTGGCAGCAACCTTGATGTTGGCCCGTTTGTCGTTTGGGGGCCAGACGACGATAACAGAATGGGCAGAACATAATCCATGATCGCCGTATCTTTCTCTCGCTCCCTTTGCCTCCCTTGCACCGGTCTACAATCTACAGTCTATCCGTACACCGTCCAACTTGGCTGGCGTTGCTAGTACTGCCAGGCGAACCGGACATTCAACCCACCTCAGTCCGCCATCCTTGTTGGGGGGCTCGCAGCAAATCCAATCCAGTCCAACCCCGTCCAGCTGACCATGCAGTTGAGCCGTGTAAGAACCGGGTCCGAGTCTCCCTCTTACATCCCAGCGGCTCCCATTCGTGCAAGCATCCGAGTCCAATCCACGCATCCATCCGTCTCGATACGCCTTTTACGAATGCCATACTTGGGGGGCTCAACAGTTGTTGATCCGTGGTAGGCAGCATCTTCCCGTCTCTTACATTACAATTGGCTGGTCATCGACAACGTGCTGGCGTTCCACCCATCGTCGCCCGTCCCTGTGCCAAGTTTGCCGGCACTCGTCGGCGCCCTCTTTCGCCAGTTTCTTTCTGGCTGGCGTCTTGGAGATGGGATGACGAGTGGCCAGAGCTCCCGCCAGCTTGCTTTTAGCAAACACACCGTTCCATGCTTGCAGGCGGTTCCCGGGCAGCGCACCATTCGGAGACCGCACAATGTAACCCTGCTACTGCGTAGTTCACATCGTACGAAGCCACGAAAGACTCCTGCAAGGTGAAGCAGACAGCATTTTTTTCACTCCAGAGCTGAACAGGCGAGACTGTGGCCCTTTGACCACAGCCACGGGAGGCCTGCGGAATCACGGGGACAACAGTTCAAATGCCTTGAAGCCCACAGCTGCCGCGGCAAGCTGCTGATTGCTCGAATGGGTATCCGTAGATTGTCGATACGCGCTGCGATGCCTGCCAGATGTGGCCTGGTCGGGGGTGAAATTGGTCAACTACGTCAGGACTTGTGGCTCTTGGAAATGAAACAGGAATGCCCCCACAAGGCCAAGGCTTAACGTGCCTTAAATGACCCGCCGAGGATCCACCCTCGTTGCCCATCACCCTGGTCACCCGCTGTGACTGTTGAGCTTTCGTCCCCCGGCCCCGGCCCTGCCACATCCCGTATGTGAAATCGTATCGCGCGGCTGCCGGCGGGTCACTTGGCGTCCCGGTCCTCTTCTCCGGGCGCATCCACTCAGCGCCGCGTCCATCCCGCCTACCGCCGATTTTGTCGTGTCAAGCCATTTCTTCGATCCGGAGCACCGTGCCTGAGCCGCACGTTACCCCCTCGAAACATCGCCGGTACTTGGCAATTGCATCCGGCCGACAATTGTGGGCTTGGAGTGACAGGACGGAAGATCGCCATACGGGCGTCGACGATAGCACGCATGACAGTTAGATGAGGAGGGTCTGGAGCCGGGATTAATGGCACCATTCGAAAGGGTGATGGAACTGAGATGAAGCAGACCTATATCTTGGGGCGTCTTCATTCTGAGGCTCGTGTCACAGCTGTCATTGGCATTTGGTAGTTGTCTGTTTACTGTTCCCCAAGTAGGTGCGTACTCGTTGTGTTTATACCTTATACCTAGGTATACTCACATCCTCGTAGAGAAACGTGATAGCTGGGTCCATATCAAGGGGACTACAATCTCGACCCTCATTCTGCCTAAAATAAAGTAAGAAGAGGACCGTACTTGAGTCGGGCGATCGCGCCAACTCGAAACATCTACAAAGATTTGGAGCAGGCGTGACCACATCTGCTACAAAGCCCGTGAATTTGCAGCATTTCCCATCAGATTCCAGGCAGCGGCCTCTAGGTGCGCTTCGTGAGGCTCGAGCTGGCGAGACATTCTGGGCACATCAGCGGCGTCCCCTGCAGGTCACTGGACTTCGTGTCAAAAGCTCCCCGCGATCCAGGCAGCATACCCCCCCTGTCTCGCGTCTTCCTTTCTCTTTTCCCTGACCGCCGCGTCTCGTGCCTGGCGTGGCAAGCATGTTGGCCAGTGTACTGGCGACAGCTTCATGGCAAATGTGAATGCAGCCCGGCAAACAGACCTGTCACGGGCTAGCGTTGTGGCGCCAAAGCCATTGGAGGAGCTGAGGTGCTTCCTATGCTGCGGCGTTTGCAATGAATGCAAGGTACCTCCGAGGAGGGTATCCGTCAGCTTGTTGATGGTGTTTTACCCCAAAGAGCTAACATACCAACGAGTAGACCTCCGTTTGTCAATACGTACCTGCCCAAATCGTGTCGTTGAGCTAGACTCTGCCTAGTCGATCCTTTATTCAAGTCCCCTCTTTTTGACAACCAACGGTGAAGTCTCGACGTGAACGGGCGAGGTGTAAACCAGTATAAAACAACTTCATCGTTTCCTTCATCTCTGGCCAAATCCTTTCCCATTCACCTCAGCTGCATTACATTCATCCTCCAGTCTGCTTGTCAACTGTTTCAAAACATTTTGTCACTTCGAGGCTCGATTGCTCTTTCCTCTCCACCCCGCCCACCAGCAGTCAGTCACCTTCTCTACCTTATTCAGGTAGGCTGCTCAACTCACTTGCCAAGTTCAACCTCTGCTCGTGGGCTCCTCTGTCAAGCCTACGCAGGAAGTCAATCCCATTGCCCCCGTCACCATGTCTCTCCCCCACCTTCAGGAGTTGCCAGTTCCTCATGTGGAGCTGGTCAATTATATCCACGACCACCCGGAGAAGACGATGATTGATATCATGGAACCCTATCGCAAGTATGAGGGTCAGCTTCGTTCTGTCTTCGCCCAGGACCGCAAGAATCCGGCTCTTGACGACCCTCACATCAATCTTGTGCCATTGTTCAACGGAAACACCAATAACATCAAGGTTCGAGCGCGTTCCCTGGACGCCGAAACTCAAGAGGAGAAGGACCGCTACATAATGGCCCTTCCAGATGACAAGCGGCGAGCCAATGGCTCTCCTGCCGTGGTCTCGTCTCTCAAGGAGTTTCAGAAGAACTTCAACGTCTTCTCCGAATCCTCTCTTGTCGATATGAACTGGGATAACGTCGTTGCCGCTGGATCCTCCGTCATCAACACCCTTCTGCCGGTCCCCGCTGAGTTCAACACTTCCAAGCGCAAACTTCGGGAATACTACCACGAGAAGTTCTGTCCGGCATCTGACGTTGATCTGTTCCTCTACGGACTGACCCACAACGAGGCTGTTGAGAAGATCAAGGAGATTGAGACTGCGGTTCGAGACGCCATTTTGACTGAGGTCACCGTCGTTCGCACCAAATATGCCATCACGATTGCCTCTCAATACCCCACTCGACACATCCAGGTAGGCATCAAGCGAGTATGATTAAGCAAACTTGACTAACAACCCAATCAGATTGTCTTGCGCGTGTATAAATCCATTGGAGAGGTATGTGGCATAATTTTACTTTTCTCTCACAACCTAGCCAATGCGGGCCAGACGACGGCAAACAGCTAATGGCGTCAAGATTCTCACTGGTTTCGATATCGACGCGGCTGGTGGAGCCTACAACGGAAAGCAAGTTTGGGTGACTCCGCGAGCTTTGGGCAGTTTCATCACTCAGATCAACCACATCGACCTCACTCGTCGAAGCCCTTCCTACGAGAACCGTCTGTCCAAGTACAGCCATCGCAACTTCGAAGTCTACTGGCCTGATCTCGATCGCAGCCGCATCGATCCAACCATTTTCGAGCGCAGTTTTCAGAGAACTCTCGGCCTGGCTCGCCTGTTGGTCCTGGAACGACTCCCCACATCATCCGTTCGTGACGAATACCTCAACAAACGGAGGCAGGAGAGAGGTCGTCCGGCAGCAAATCGCTACAACCCCCATCAGCTGTTTGGCAACATCAAAGACAGCCACGAGGATGAAGTTGCAGACTGGGTTGAGGAGACCGACGTGTCCAACTACCATACCTTCACAGTCCCCTACGGCCAGCAGTATGTTGAAAAACAAAAGCAGATGCAGTGACTCCTGCTGACAAGTGCAGTTTCCATGCGAAGAAGATTGAGAAGCTTTGTTACACTCGAGATTTGCGTAAGCTTTTCCAGCCTGATGCATACATCATCACCCGACTGACTCAATTCTTAGTTCTCAACGCCGAGTGGAACCAACCCAAGGAGAGGGAAGTCCACCTTCACCGACATCCTGCCTTCTTTGGTCGCGTCGAGGACGTCATCGAAGATTGCTGTGGCTCCTGCCCCAAACCATCGACCCCGGAGGAAGTAGAGGCGGCCGAGAAGGAGGCGGAGATTTACATCTCTGGCAAG